TTTCATGCCGTGCCCTCGCTTAGCGAAGGCGCGAAAATGGCTGCCGGCAATTGGAATCCTCGCTGAATGGGTAAGTAAGAAAGGTATTGGAACGCATTAAACTAAGTTTAATGCATTTCAGTACATTTTCCCTACCCGTTTAGCGACAATTTCGCATAGCGAGGGTTAATCCGGAACGGATTAACCTCGCTATGCGGGGCACCACTGTACTTCTGAAGGGCCTCAACCAAAAGTTTATGTGTTGCAAGGTGTACCTTGTGGAATAGAAAAGGACCAGGCCAGGCAGAGCAGAGACTGAGCAGCACAGACCTACACTCTGCTGCAAATACTTCATTTGTCATGCTGGATTAATTCTCTTAATTGCACCAGAGAAGGATTTGGGTCTTCACATAGGCCTCACCTCTATTCTCAGGCCTAGAGGAGGTGACATGGCCTCACATGTCCTTTTGAGTGTGGGCGAAAGGAGACAAATGATCTTCTCCACTTCTTTTGGGCAACTCCTTGCGTCGTTTCCATTGTAGAGATAATTCAGGATACTGAACCCATGACACATTCTAAGCTGACAGGTTGTGACAGAATCCACACAGACTTCACAGGAATCCAAGAGCTCCACCTCTGAATTTCATAGCTTTCAGACACTGTCGGTGTCTGCAGATATATTGCTAACAGTCTTCAAGGCTGAAGAAAACAAAAAGTACAATTCTCAGGAATTCATATTTTGGATGCGTCCAAACTTGCAAATCTTAAACACGTCCTCTTTTTCTAAACTTTTATTTCTGTTTTGGCTTGTGTAAAGGACATAGATCTCTAAAAGGCCAATCCTCTGCACTCGAAAAGGTAGGTTTTTTAAAAAAATCTTATGTCCCTTTAAAGGAAGCTATGAGCATTTAAATTTTTGAGTCTACAGTACCTGTTGTGAGTGGAGTTCTGAATCCTGAAGTGTGAATTAACCCGGACATATTGTGCCACAACTAAATCTTTCACTGGGAATTTTTACCTCTCCACAGGTACAAGCAGCCAGCTTTCTGCAGGTGGTGGACGAGCAACCCCTCCCTTAGTGTCATTGTATCCAGCCCTGGAGTGCCGGGCCATAATGCAACAAATGTCACCCACAGCCTTCGGTGAGTGCCGTCCCTTGTGCCAAGCAATCAAGGGATGAGACGAATCTTGGAGGGCTGATTCGAGGTTTACTTAACTGGAGTCTCTTCATTTTTCCAGTGAAGAATCCTAAGTTCAGTAGTTGGGTTCCGGGGGCTAGTTTTTGCCTCTTGAGTTGCCTCCCATCAGTTCCAAGTTTTAAACCTATAATCATGTAGGCTAGAAACTTGCTGTAAAGCTTTTGAGTTGTACTTCTCAATGTTCTGCATGAACAGGTAGGTTCCACAGGAGATGGTGCATGCCGTATTATGTGGTGTGAGTACAGGCATGCAGATGTCCAGACCCACTCATTCTCAAAGTTTCTCTGTCACCAGAACAATTTTTTAGGAGTGCATGAACTACTTCATCTGGTGGACAGCTTTATAGCACTTAAAGTGCTCTCTAGATGTTACTGAACTCCCAACTCTCATCAGCCCCAGATAGCAAAGTCACTGGTCAAGGATATCACTTGGATCCCCAGACATTTGCAGGGCTTCTGCTTAGGAAAGGCTAACTGAAGGCCTGTTGAGGTCTGGTACACTTCCCTTAATTCATCTCTGCCTTCAGGCTAACGGGTATTAGCAGCAAAGGGGGAAAGCAATCTAGCATAATAAGTGAAAGTCACAGAAAAGTATGCCCTTCAGGCAGAGCAGAAATTAGTTCACTGTAATGTTGTGGTCCTGCATTGTGTAAAATTAAAGTGCTGAATTCCCAGCTGCATACTTTTACTTCCAGAGTAGAGGGAACAGGTGAGAGATTCAGGATCAAACTGGGTTGGATGCCAAAATCCAAAATTTGAATTTGATAAATTCAATTGAATTTAACTTTTCTTGTGATAACTTGTTGCAGAGTGTGGAGGTACCTGATGTAGAAGCAGCCATGATACAGTCCACTTGGGAGTACAGGATGTTGTGCTAACAGACTAGGCCAGATATGAAATTATGAGATAGATTGAGCATGGTAGGGTAGGGTAGTGAGGGAAAGAGAGAAAGGAGACTGCCATGAGAGCCTGGAGCAGGGATGGGGAACCTTGAGTCCTTCCTGGGAGAGTTAAGCTCTGGCTCCCAGCGTGGCTACTCAAGGGCTCTGTTGTTTGGGGGCATATGTCAGTCAAGAGGGACCCCCATCCCCCAGCCACTGCTGTTCAGAGGAGGTCATGCCTAACCATTTTAGCCCCTTCCTTGTCCTCTGGCAGGCTTGAGCGACTGGGATGACGACGAGATCCTGGCTTCGGTGCTAGCCGTGTCACAACAGGAATACTTGGAAAGCATGAAGAAGAGCGCCCTGCACAGAGACAGTGGTTCCGACAAGAGTTGATAACTCGCTTGCAGCTCCTGTGCTCGCCTGACACCCCTTAGGTGCATGTTTTGGCCGGAAGGATGATGATGATGATGACGACGACGATACCTGGGACCTCTCCCCTCCTCTGCTGCTGCTGATCAATGCTCCTTCGGCTGCCCTTTTTTTCTCCCGACGTTTGGCTCTCTGCATCTGACCCCCTGCTGCATTGGGGGAAGAAACAAGAGAGAGAGGGACAGGACCTCCTTAACAAGGAGCTGGAACACGCACAAACTGGGGCATGCTGGGCTTCCCCCTTCATCAGCCATTACTTTCATTATTAAAAAGAAATAATTGATATGGTCCTAAATGAGCCCTCCCCCCTTTGGGATCTGTGGGTATGAGTGTGCACAGTTTACCTACGGAGAATGAGGGGAGGCTGGCTTAAGGAGAGTGGCAATAAATAAAGAGTGACCCTAGGGCATGCCAGCTTCCCTCCTCCTCGGTGTTGGGGGAGTGGGGCCGGATGATTTCTAGGCATAGAAAGAGAGGTAGACAGTATACTACTGTTTTTGACTCTTTCCCCTTCATTATTCACCCTGGTGTCCTGCCTTCTAATAAGAGAGACTTCAGTGGGGTGGGTCCTCGCCCCCCTCTGTCATTTCAACCACTACACCTTTCATCTCTGAGGAACATTGTAGAACAAAATTGCTATCTGTCTTCTCTCCATACAGGAGCCTCTTTCTCTATTCACCTGGGTCTTAACTGCGTGTTTGTTCACATGTGGCCCCTGACTGCCCAAGCTGGTAGCACTAGCTTGTTTGTCCAACTCTGTAGTTTCTTTGGCACTGCCTCTGGGCTTCCTGCTATCTCTTGCCCACATGCCAGGGAGTGGGGGATAGAGGTGTTGTGTTCAACGCTGGTCTTTCCCTAGGAATGGGCTTTGTCTCAACATTTTAATGCGGAGAGAGTATTGGTCACAAATATCAAAAGATGGAGGTTGCATCTGCAACAGTAGAAGAGAAGTTCCCTCATGAAAGGAGACCTTGAATCACAGGTTGGAGGCCATTTCAGACAGGACCAGCTGTCCTCTTAGGTTCTGGACAACTGGTGAACTGGCCTAGAAGCTAAGTAAGCCCTGAAATAGACCACTGTCTGGCAACCTTTCCTGTCCTACTTGTGGTGTCTTCCTCACTACTGCTGTAGTCATCACCCACCTGTTGTGGCAGTTTGTATTCTCTTAAACCCTGGCTCTGAAAGACTGAGTATGGTGGAGACTTTCATATAATGGTGGAGCTTACTCAGCTCCTTCTGCGTCTGCACTCTAAGTCTGAAATCCATGGAGTGGTGGGATTTTCTGAAGGCCCCCCCTTTTTTTTTAGCCTCCAAAAGACAGGAGGGATGACAGATGGCTGCTTTAGGAAAACTTGCTGCAGGAGACGCCATGGATGACTGATTGAAAAGTCGAATTTTGGTACCTGAAAATAAAATATAGGCAGAGTTGGCTTTTGACACTCTACTTCTTAAAAAAAAGCCTTTTTAACCACTGAGGTTTATGACAATCTTGCCTTGACTGGTGGAGAAATAGTAGCCAGAACAGGAGAATGCATTTACAGTATATACATACGAACAAAGAATCTAAGCCTTTTTTTTTCTTCCAAGAATACGCTGTCTGCACTTTCTCATTTCCAGGAAACTATGTTGCCAGTAGCTGGAGTTGAATAGTTGCTTTCCAAAGACCTCTCATGGTCAGTGCCCGGGATCAACCCACAGTATGAAAACACAGTCTCTGGTGATCATCTGTGTAGAACTGAATGCTGCAGAGGCTCCTTTCAGAAGTGCCCCAAATCCCACCCAGGTGCCAGTCAGTAATTAAAATTACTTGACGAGAAACACAAAATTTGGCAAGGTTGGTGTACAGAGAGTAAATCATGTAAATATGACTTTTGTTTTGATTTAGTAAAGCAATCAGAAGTGAGTTGCATTAAATTTGAAGGATATGCACACTCTGAATCATTGGTAACCCTTCCTTTGGCCATAACTTTGGAGGGTCTCGAAAGGGGAGTGGGAAGGGCAGTCGATGTAATAGTTGAGGCTACTAAATGGCATGGGGGTGTTGGGAGAGTTGGGAGGCAAGAGTCCATCTAGGTGCCTGAAGACTTGTCTGTGGGTGTTTTTTTTTTAAGTCTCATTTTAAAATATGCCCTTTAAAATCTTCGTTGCTCGGATGCCTGTTGCCTTGTTTTAGCAAGCCACTCACTCTCTGACAGCAATCATTCAGAAAGTCCCCCATGCTGAGGGGTTAAAATTTATGTATTTGAGGTCAGAGAAGAAAAGTTAAACCAACAAACGCTATCTCTAGTTGATCTGTCCTTTGATCTAGAGCTCATTCCTGACTTGTCCTCTTGTCACTTGATCTCCATTGTCTGCTGCTTTTCTCTTGGTCAGACTCCAAAGGTTTCTAGGCCTGTCATTAGAATTGCTGTCCTTCAGGGTGTAGGGAAGAATTGGTTTTTTACTGACATGTGGCCCTCGAGACATGACATTCAACCTTTTTTCCACTAGAAGAAATTAATTATATATGGGCCAACCTAACAGATGCCAGGTAATACGCAGAGTGGTAAGGGTACCAATTCAACTATGGACCCAAGGCTCTGTCAGAAGCAAAGGGCACAAATGTTTTCCCCTCCATTTCATGGACAGAAGATGGTTAGACTGTCACAGTTGACATCACTGGCAGGGCCCTCTGGCACAGCTGGGGGCAGTTGGGGCAGTCGGGTACATGATAATGTGTAGCTTTGTCTTTCACACAAGGGGAATTAGGAGGAGGATTACCCAGGGACACCTGTCCACTCCCAGGTAGTTTGCCTTCCTCTGCCTATTGTTAGAGCCATCCCTGTCTAGAAGACATTTTCTAAAAAGTGTGTGCGGGAGGAAAGTCTTCACTGTGGCCAAGCCACAGGCCAGCAGTGATTTTCAGCGCCAATTGGTTGATTGTCCCTACATTTGCCCTGCGTGTCTGGTTTTGTAGTCTGGGCAGCACTTGAGGACAGAGCAGAAAAGTAACAGAGCAAGGACTGAGCTGGAAAAGACTGTTTTCTAAAGTTGGATCTTTTGTTTGCAGGAGAACTGGTACAATTATAAAATGTTAAAAATGGTGCGCGCGCACACACACACACACGCTCTTCCAGTGATATGTAGGCTTTCACAGAGGATTCCACAACTTCTTTCCACTGTCCATGTACATCAGACCACAGGCAAGGAATGCATGGCCCCTCGATGTTGCAGCACAGCCATTTCTGAAACAAAGCTTTCAAAATAATTCTGAAAAAGTGACCACAGTTCTTGTCAATGCCACTTTTGGAGCAACAAACAAAGCATCCTCCCCCTCCCTCTTCATTTCTCCTGCAATTTACTTGTAATTTCCAGAAAGATTTCTGTCAGTGTGCTAGGTTTGGATATCTTTTAATTTTTAAAGGATTTTTCTGAAAATTAACAGTAGGACATTAATTTTTAAATGTAGTTATAGAAGGGGTGGCCATATTTGTGCAAGCATTATAGGTAAAAGCAAATTAGAAACAAAAAAAATGTCTTGGAAGAATGGGACCACACTTGATCTCCTTTTCCAACAGCAGTGGAGTTCCAGTTCTTAGGGCAAGTGTAGGGAATTGTGTTCAGGGAGAGGGTAGATGCTTTCTCTGCAGCCCTCTTATGAGCCAGATTGTGCCAGTTTATGTAACTACTGGTGTTTTCATGTCTCCCACTAAAGCACTGGCTGGAGCTTCTCCACATGGAACTTCAGCTGAGAACCCAGTTGTGTTCCTCCTCTTTGTTCCCCATCCATATGTACACTGTTAGCTTGTTGACTGGTTAGAGATAAGAGCAGCACTTCTTCTCCTCACAACTTACAGGAGATGGGTCTTAGAGGAGTGGTGGGGATGGCCCAGGAATCTCTGCAGTTTGGGATTCCCCCCTGTTCCCTGGATTAAGAGAACCTTAAATAGTAAGGCATAGCCTAGGAAATGGAGCTGTTTGCCTATCACACTGGCTATTGATGGCAAAGAAAGGCCATTTATATACCAAAAAGAAAGGGGTACAGATGGGGAAAAGACCTTTTTTTTAGAAGAGAGGTAGAAATATCTTCAACCATGACCACAGCAATATAAAATGTTGGAGTCTACCCAAATTTCATTCATCTGATCTACTACCAGGGTGAACCCACCACTTTGTTACCTGAGAGGGAGCATCATATGCCCCACCAATCCTCTAGCACTATCTTGTACTCAAAAGCAGCCATGTTATTTTGCCATGCAAGACAGGAAATCCTGCAAGTCCCTTTTCCTCTCCCTGGCAATTAAAACACAATCATGATTAATAATGGTTTGCTGCCCTTTCATGACACCAAATCTGCTGCTTGAGGTGGCTGCCTCTATCTAATAGTAGAGCTAGCCCCACTAGCCATTAGCATGGATTCCAGTCAGGAAAGGTATGGCTCAAGGACTAAACAATTAGCATTATGTATCGTCATGCCCTGTGTACTGCATCTAGGCAGCTGCACTATTTTCCTTGTCTCATAGTTTTTAAGCTTGCACGGAAGACTTTGCACATTGCTTGCTTATCAAGATCACTGACCACCACCACCACACCCCCTACAAGGTTGTAGAGGAGGGCTCTGCTATGTTCTAATGAGAAGGCATACACTTCCACTTCTTGTGAGCCCAAACTAGGCCTAGTGCCATCCATGAACATAGATGGTGGGACTTTGGAACAGAGCAAACCTCAGGCTGTGTGTGTGTTGCATGGGTGGCAATGGCAGTGGGCAAACTTCTTATAAGGAAGTTGGTCTGACTGCTATACATATGTGTGTTATTTCTCACATTTAGGAGGTCCTGATGCACTTCTTAGAAGTTCCAGGCCTTGCCTCCACCCAGTTTGAGAATATTTCCAAGCCACTGGAGGAACCAAAGCAGATTGTTCTATGGTGGGGACCATGACTGAACTGATTGTTTATGATTATTCCTTTGCAGACTTGTAATTGTACACCAGAGTCTGTGGGGCTGCCTCTACCATTGCGTACAGTGAGGCAGCTGCCTTCACCAACAGATTTTTGCATGTGTCAGGAAAGGGTTGCACATTGCTATTTAATCATCATTGGATATTTGTATTTATTTTGCCACCAGGAAAGGAAAAGGACACCTGTGACTCCCGTCCCCATCTCAAGTAGCAAAATAAGATGGGTTTGATACTGTGCACCCTGATTCTTGAGCCATGGTTGCAATTCCCTGCTTAGTCTCAGGCAGCAAAATGTCTCAGGCGTTTTGCATATGCAGCCTGAAACAAGCCTTACACCTGATGCTTTAGCTTGGCAAAAAATTAGTGCCATTCTACCACAGATAAATTGTGGTAGCCTTGGGGTTCTTTTTGCAGCAGGATGCGGAATATGCATGGCCTTCTATATGTTTTTGGATGGCAGCTCCCATCAGCCCTCCCCATTGCCTATGCTGGCTGCAGCTGATGGCAGTTTGCAGTCCCAACAACATCTGGAAGGCTGCACATTCCTTATCCTGCTTTATTTTATAGCATATCTGCCCTTAAATTTTTTTCATCATTTCTACAAAATGCTAGGTTCTCTCCATACAGAACATGGATTAATTTATTGCTGTAGTATTATATTTCTGAAGTAAAGTCCTCCAGCCCTGGTCTGTGGAATACCATCCCATGCTCCATGTGCCTAATGCATGACGTCTGCAAGCCTACTGCCCAGTTAGTATGCACAACAGTGGTCAAAATCTAGCTCTTCATGGATGGCAACAGGATCACAATTTTCAAGCATGGCTTGGAAAGTTTACTCTTTGTGATAAGTGAGGATTTAGAGATGTGGTTGACAAATATAATTTCCTTCACCTTCTGTGTTATTGGTGTCAACAACATCTGGATTTTAATTACATCCTAAGAGTCACCAAGGTGGGAGATCAAAGGGTTGCTCTACAAAATGAAAATGCAAAAATCACAATAAAATAATTTGAGGAGAAGCCCAGTAAGGGCTGAAGATTAAGTAAGGGCTGAGGAAAGAGGCAGGGGAACTCCAACCATGAAACCTAAAGTGTGCTAACTCAGAATATTAGCTCAAATCTGTGCAATCTCAGCCGAGATAAGCTGGCATTAATGTCACCAGGAAAAGTCACAGGGGAGCTATTTGTAAAAACTGTCTCAGGCTCTTCATTCTGACGATTTTTGGGGGCAAACAATTCCCACTGCAGCATGTCACAGAGGTTAATCGTGTCCTGCCCCAGCTCTCCTTTTCCTGGGGTGGAGACAGAAGGCATGAGGAAAAGGAATCCACCACTGCTTTGCATTGGTCCTGGTGCCAAGCCAGTTAGACTAGATCCTTTGGAACTGAGTCACTCAACTGCGTGGCAGGGGCATGCAAGCAACCTAACCTGAAGGACATGTTTCAGGACATCATGAACTACCAGCTTAATGCAACTTAGTACAGTAGTTGATTCTGAGATAGGGTGTCTTGCTTGGAGCAGCACATGGCTCACTGAGGGCACACTTCCCTTGCAGGAAAAACCCACTGTTGCTTCATAATCAAATGCCCTAGAAGTCCTTATTGCACCCCAAGGCTTCCTTCATGCAGCAGCCATGCTTTGGATCATCACTATTCTTGGGCCTCCATTATGAACACATCCTTCCAGTCATGTGCAGTCCTCACTGTGGGCTATGCTGGTAAAGCTGAGGGGTGCTGCCATCTGCCAATATGTGGAGGGCCACTTGTTCCCCATCTCAAAAACTGTAATCTGACTGCACAACATGTTGCCCTCCAGATGCCATTGGACCGGAATTCCCATCAGCTTTAGCCAAGGTAGCATGTGAAGTACAGGTATTGAAGTTCAATCATATCTGGAGGCCACTTCCCCCCCCCAAGTGGGTCTAGTTGGAACGAACAGGTCCTTGTGTCAAGAGATTCTGAATATATGTTCTATAAAGATAGTAGCACATGGAGAATTGTAAGGCCCCCATTATTGCAACAAGGATTCCTGCCCAAGTCACCCCTTCCCTTGCAAATGGGCACTGCAGAAGGCTCTTGGGTTGCATCCAGACAAAAACTGTCAACATAAGCCTCACTTGTTTGAATGGGAGGTAATTGTGACTAATTTTTTTTTACACACATTTCAGCAAATTTTTGTATAAAATGTAATGTTCCTTACATGGATTGATCTCAAAAGTAGTTCTGGTTGCTATCATTATTGTCGAACAACTATAGCTGAACACATTCAATAACATTCATTATGGTAATAAATTATTGGGAGGTCAGGGGGGAACAAGACGCTAGACCGCTGTTGGCTTAGTAGCTGCCTTGTTTGGCCAAATAATACAAAAGCAAAAGGGTTTATCATTCTTTCATGAATGGTACATTGGGGGGAAACTGCCCAAGGTTAGCCTTCACCGCCATGTTACCCTTCAAAATTGATGGATTACAAGTCCAATCAGTGTCAGCAACTATCTGCTTGTTGGGGATGACCCAAGTGGGGTTCTGTGGTACTAGAGCACAGAAAGCCACAGCTGGTGGAGTCTCTGATTGATTGTAAATCCCTGGTGTCACTAGGAGGAAAGGGTGGGGGGTTCTGAGCAACAATGCACCGTTACAGCTTTTCCTAGTGGTAATGCAAGTCTTTAAGGTCTTCCGTCCATTAAGATTTGATTGCACTAAAAAAACTTGTTGCAATTTGTCAGTATGGATTAGTGCATCTCCTGGGATTTCTGGATTTTCCTTAGGGTCTTAGCTATGACGACAGTCACAACGAAGACCTGTATTTTAAAACTTCCCACTAGACCACTGGATGATGAGAGCTGTACCCCAATACATTTGGAGGTGACCAAGTTGTTGTAGAGGACAATATAGACAGCAGTTCAAAGAACAGCAAGTTGTGCAACGAATGATAGGCTGTGCACCACAAGGTGCCTTAGTCTTCATAGGTCCTTCAGTGTCTTTGTATGTCTGTATGCTAGACTTAGATGTGCTTACTTACAGACAACAGGCCCCAAGTGTTGGTGATCCTTCTCTTCTTCTAAGTGGGTTTACAACTGTAACCTAAACTACTGAAGCTTAAAAGATGACATTTGTAGTGGACTTCTAGAAATTACCATGTTCTCAAAATTGCCCAGCAAAAAGCAAGGTGACACGGACAATTGCCAGAAAATGGCACAGCCTTGGTCAATGGGGGGAACTGAAGCCTAGGCATGTTACAGCAGGAGCAGTCTTATGCTGGCAGTCTAGGTAAAGGTAAAGGTTCCCCTTGACATGTAGTCCAGTTGTGTCTGACTCTAGGGCAGGGTGCTCATCCCCGTTTCCAAGCCATAGAGCCAGCGTTTGTCTGAAGACAGTTTCCATGGTCACGTGGCCAGCACGACTAGACACGGAACACTGTGACCTTCCCACTGAGGTGGTACCTATTTATCTACTCGCATTTGCATGCTTTTGAACAGCTAGGGTTGGCTGGAGCTGGGACAAGTGACGGGAGCTCACTCTGTTGCGTGGATTCGATCTTACGACAGCTGGTCTTCTGACCCTGCAGCGCAGAGGCTTCTGCAGTTTAACTCACAGCGCCACCACATCCCTATGCTGGCAATAGGCGCTATTAAATTCAGTGCTATTAAATGCTTCTAAAGAGATCTCCATAGGATTGTGTTGGCCAATGAAGGTGCTGAAATCTCATCTTCTACATAGTTAGTTATTCAAAGTACAAGAGCCTTGTCCTCCATCTCACACAATCACTCTACATACAATTCCCATTGGACTAACATTGGCTGGTCTTGTGTTGCAAGGATAGGAAGTAAGTAAGCAGGATCTACCTGCAGGTCAGTGGGTGGCTCAGTCATCCATTTGTTTAAAAACAAGTTGTGACAAAACCAGGAGCTGTGTTAGTCTGTCTCAGAGTGTTGGCCAAAACTAGCTACATATTGTAGTAGTCTGAAGATCAACAGCTTTATTTCAGTGTGAACATTTCATGAATCAAAATCCACTTCCTCAGACATGGAACTAAATGACCTGTGTATTTATACATAACTCATGAACAGGTGAGGATATAGATAAAGTGACTGGCTAGTTAACACAGGAATGGAACTACTAAGCTATGAATTACTTTAATTAGCAGCTGCTTTCCAGGGTGATAGTACAGAAAGCGGGGCTCATACTAACATGTGGTGCAATATGACGTGTTCTCTATGGAGGACCTTGGAGAAGCACTGGAATTCATCCATGTTTTTGACATCTGTCTCCCTCTTGAAATTGGCTACATGAGCAAGTTCCAGTGCATCTCCAGAGGCCTCAACAGAGATAAAGTCTTCTTAGGGCAGTACCTATGTTAACAGCCCAGCATTCCTGCAATATCTGATGGGTATAAAACAATTGTCTCTATTGACAGATTCTGTTGTTTGTCCCTAGCTCTTTGCATTCCTCTGATAGCCAAGTCGACCTAGAGTGATTATCTGGGGCAAGACCTGCTAATTAAAGTAATTAACAGCTTGATGGTCTGATTTCTTAAGGGATCATTGTCATTTTGTCTATTAGCTGGATCCTCACCTGGTCATGAGACTATGTATCAATACACAGGCCATAGATTTGCACTCTAAGGAAGTGGATTTTGAATCCACAACGTTCCCACTGAAATAAAACTGTCAGTCTTCACAGTGCTATGACATTTTGCTATTTTCTCCTTTTCCTTTATGCCAACATGTAACAACAAATCCACTTCTGAGGCTGCTGAGAAAGCTGAAAGTGAGGTGGCATTGAGTAGCTTTATGTGACTGGACAATGAGATAAGTTCTGCTACTGAAAACAAATTCCTGGGCCGAGTATGAGCTCAGAAGACACCTTTGTTCCTAAATATTAAAAGTGCATACATTTTCCTGCTAATTTCTGAGCCACTGTTTCGTACCTGCACTTTGGCTGGTAGATCTGGTGAGTGTGTGTGTGCCTAATTAAAAACACAAACAAACAAATAAACAGAGCCACTAAACTTCATGACTCCCTGAACTGGTTCCATTGTATTTGATAGAGAACAGAATACCAGCAAATCTAATTCTGCTGTGTGTAATGGGAAATACGTTTATTTCATCTTACACATAGTAGAATAGTGGGACTTACAGTGGGGTCTCATTCATCCTTGGGTGAATGTGCCCTTGCCTTGACCACAATCAAAAGCACACGATTTTAAAATGACCAAGAGACCTGGTGGCATCTCAAAGATGGACAAATTTACTGCTGTAGGAATAGTTTGGGCTTCAGGCATATGCTTCTTTTTCTTCCTGAGATTGCTCGATCTCCACTTTTGTTTCTCTTCAAGTATCGTGGATGTCACTGCAGTTATATCAAGTTTAGATGCAGCAGCTCTAAGCAGTGGTGTGTCACGTCCAAACCAGCCTCCAACATTCTTCAATAAATTCTTCTCTTTCCTGCACTTCTTGCCCCATTTCTTTAACTTTGAATAATCAGTTAAAGCCCAGGTAAGGTTGGCTGTGGCTGAAGCTGTAAGCATATCCACCCTAACAGGGAGGGAGGGCAGGTGCAAAAGAAAGCTCCTTTTTCCTTTATACAACAATTGGGCACCATCATGTCAATTCTGGCATACGGTGACCCTTTTCAGAGTTTCCTAGTTAGAGAGTACTCAGCAGTGGCTTGCTTGTCCCTTTTTTCTGGACCTGGCTTTTTTTAGGAGGCACGGTGGTGAACTGAACTCCCAACCTTTGGCAGCACACCTAACTCACTGAGCTGTCCAGCCAACTCCTTTTCCCGGTCCTTAGGTTTTTAGAACAGTAGTTCCGAACCCTGGGTGACTCAGGCGTTCTTGGCCTACAACTCCCAGAAGCTTTTGCCAACAGATGTGCTGGCCAGGATATCTGGGAGTTGCAGTCCAAGAACACCCTGGGTTACCTAAGGATGGGAGCCACTGTTTTAGAAGAACAAACTTCCATAGGTGTTAAGTTTTCATAACCACCTGCACCCCCCCTCTTGCGATTCTCTGACACAGTCCCTAGATCAGTGGTCCCCAACCTTGGACCTCCAGATGTTTTTGGACTACAACTCCCAGAAGCCTTCACCACCACCTCTGCTGGCCAGGATTTCTGGGAGTTGAAGTCCAAGAACATCTGGAGGGCCAAGGTTGGACACCATTGCCCTAGGCTACTGACCATGCTGGTGGGAGGATTTTGGGCTGTGTAGTCAAAAAGAGAGAGAGAGAGAGGAACGTTTCTAACCTTTGAGATTCTGCGCGTGCCTAGCCAAGTGTGTGAACTAGGAAAGCGCTCTCCATTAATTTTGGATCGAAAGCCAGCCCCAGCCATTAATTCCCAATGAGTTCCGTGGATCCAAACAGTCATCTTCCCCCAAAATGGCCAGCAGCTTACTTGGGAGTGACTCCCCAGCTGAGGAGGGCTTTTTACGTTCAAGTCGAATCCGACCGCCCTCAAGAGAAAAAGATCCGGGCTTGAAAAGAACCCCTGACGCCTCACTAGATGCTGGATCGGCGCCAAGGGGCTTACGTGAAGTGGTGACACTAGCCGACGCGTAAGGAAAGCAACCGCAGGTTTCCGCAACGTAAAAAAAAAGAAAAAAAGAAGGTCCATTACACAAGATCTTTCCAGGACGCCGATGGGGCTGGAGGGGAAACCTTAGCCAAAGTCCCGCTTCTTCCTCTTTCCTTATGGGTCTATTCATTTGCATAACAGAGCTGCTTTGAATGGTAGGGGGAGGACCTATGCAAATCGCTGGGACTTCCTGATTGGCTGGACGGCCGCTGTAGTAAAAGAGTGAGCCGCGGGTTGGCTGGAGTAGAGGCGGCGAAGGGGGCGAATTGACGGCAACGGGAAGGGAATACGGGTTTGTTGACTTTGGCGGCGAGGAGGAAGGATGATGCCCGGCGTGAGCGCTTCAGCTTGCCGGGCGTGAGGAGCTCGGCTCCGCTCACCCTCTTTCGAGATCGAAACGGAAGACCTTGCCCTGGCATTACAGACTCGCCTCGGACGATGATCCCTGAACGGAACGAAGTGGCGTGGAGTCCCGCAGGTAAGCCTTTCCCAATGGTTACGCTCGCCTAGGTGCGGAGAACTCTTCACGGGTTGTCCAGCCTCGCAACCGGGTGCAGATGCTTAACGGGGATTGCCACCATCGGTCCCGGCTTCCGAGCGAGTGTGCCCACGTGAAGCAAGGAGTTCACGAATCCCTACCTCTGGTTGCATTCAAACGATCACGGGCACACACGTTAGATGTAATTGACGATAATCTGAAAATACTAAATATATATGTTCTCGCTGTCTCTGCTTTGAAAGTACATAACATTTTCTGGCTACTGAAATATTTCTTATTACTTCCACTACACACCAGGAAATTCTTTTATTCCCCAGCCCTTACATATTTTGGGTGCAAGAATGGCTTTTGAAAGCCACGGAACAAGGCTAAAGGAAAAATCCAAACTGGTGACATACATCTAAACAGAAGAAGTGGATGAAAGGGGGAAATTCGGGGACCCGGTGGTTTCAAAAAAAAAAAAGTCGGGAACTAAGTCTAAAAGATGTCAAAGGGAAAAACTACACCTGTTGAATTTGCCCCTCTTCTGTTTAGCTACCGGCACAACAGAGTCCTGGATAAATTAATAATAATTAGTTTTTAGGGAAGAGTTTTGTTTTTGCTTCTGGTCAATCTGTTTATGCTTACAGAGAGTTCAGTCATACTTACAGCGTCAGTCTGTTGTTGTTGCGTTTCCTCTTTCGTTGATACACACATAGGAGTGGCTAGATGCAAAAGAGACCAAAGCAGCTGTGTGGTTGACAGTTGTGGAGGTGGAATCTGGAGCAGGTAGAGCTGGTTGTGCAAGTGCCGCCTGCCGACATTCCCTTTCCAGCAGGACCATTGCGAGGGCCAGCCGGCGTGGTCTGGTGGATAGAGTTTCGGACTAGGGCTTTGGAGACCCGAGTTCGGATCTTTGCCCCACCACAGAAACGGCCTGTGGGAGGCTGGCATCGGCAAACTCTTCTTGAACATCTCCTCGATCCCTCAAAACTCCTTTTAGGGTTGCCATTTAGGAGGTGTTTCTCTTTTCGTAGTTGCCCGCTTTAATGTAGTACATATGCGTTGCATTTCTCCACCCTGCTTTTCATGTGTTTCTCCCTCACGCGCTCCCTCCCGGTCTTGCCTTTTTAAGTGATGGCATTTATAAGGCAGGACTGATGGTCGTCAGGATCTGGGGGAGCAATTTGCCTGGCCTCAGACTGAGGAGAAGCTGCTCCCGTTCAGAGTCTATCGGGGTAACAGAGATGGCCTCTGGCTTTTCCCGNNNNGGGGGGGGGGGAGAGTAGTAATTTAAAAAAAAACTTTCTAGGGTGACTAAGCGCGGGAATAATTATAGGTATATAGTCAGATAAATATATTTTCAGTAAGAAATTGTTCACTAATAAGAGCTTTCAAAATAATAATAAAAAATAAGGAATGCATTGAGTGACCAGGAGCAGAGCAGATTTTCCGGGGGGGGGTTTCCTTTCCTTTGCTCTCACTGAGGCCTGAGAAGAGACCTGTTGAAAAATCTCTAGAGCAATTTTTTTAAAGGCACAGGAGTCCTATTTCTCTATGGCATCTAATCATCTTGTGTGTAGCTGCCTGATATGCAAGGGTCAGAATAAAGATGCAATGCTGGAGCGGTGAAATGATTCAGTCGGTCAGCAAGAAAACGCTCTTATTAGGCAGGTTTGATAAGCCTTGCGTGTTAAAGGTTTCAGGCAAGCGGCGGCGGAGGAAAGCGGCTCTCTGCTGCCCCCTCCGGGGTGAAGTGCACTCGTGCAAGCTGGTTCAAAAATGTGCTCGAAAGTCATTGCTTCCTAGTTCGGGGCTGGGACTATACTTTTTGAACTCCCCAGTCGGCTTAGCTGATGGTCATACTCACAGAGGGAGTACTGGGAGCAGTTGTAGAAAAGTAACTTTTCTCAGCTCGGCTTAATCCCACCCCACTTCCGTATATGTGAAATCCACTCATGCTTAGCAGTTGCTCCTGCTTTGCTTTGCTTTGCGGTGAGGCAACAGAGATTTGTGCCATCTTGTAATATTAGTTTTATTTACAGGAGTATGGAAGTGAAACATGAGTGAAAGCAGATAAGGTCTGTTAGAAGACAGAGCCTCAGTCTGCACAGATAGCTGGGAACGTTCCTCTTTTTCAAAACTTTTAACTGTGCTCTGCTCCCCTGAACTGCCCCTTCCCGTCAACTAGAGGGATCTTCTCTTTTCCAAATTCGGAAGGGTGTCTCTTTCAGAAAAGGGAGAGCTTCTCAGATATCAAGAGAGCACCCCGTAGCCATAAGCTTCCAGAAGGAGAACATCAACCAGTCTTTCTGGACTTTTAATTGGCAATCTGCCTGAAGACAAGATGATGCCAACAAGAATAGCTAATCAACAAGGATGTCAGTGGCAATTATTTCAGAGTAAATAAAAGGAACAACAGCTGTTCTCTCATTAGAGCTGCCAGTTCCTTCTTCCTGATGGGACTCTTGTGTGTTTAGCAGCTGTGAAACAGGGAGAACCCTAGCAGGTGAGGATTTCCTCCTCTCTCTGTGCTAGAAAGGAGAGGACGCTAGCTAGAGCCCTGCCCATGAAGAATAGAGGTGCAGGAAGCCGGAGAGCCCTCTCTGTTTTAGTTTTTAGCTTTTGTTACTAGCAAGCCTGTGAGAAATGGAGGAACTGGACAGGTGAGGAATGTTTCTGGCCCTTTGCTGCAGAAGGAACTTCAGATTCTTACCAAGGGTTCAGGCCATTCCTCCCTGCTTCCTTACCACAGAGGAAGAGTCAGAGCCCCACCGATCTTCTCCTTCTGCTGTATCAGCAAATGCTTCCTTCTCATGCGTGTGTGCCTAGACACCAGAGGTGTGCAGATGTGTGTTTTGGGACTACAGTTGCTTGCAGAATTCTGGAAATTATAATGTAAAACACCACAGATCTGCCCACCTTCAATAGATACCCACTTTTGACCCTGCACTGGCTACCACTTCTGGCTTATCCTAGTGATGCTGTACTTTCTGCCTTGCCAGTCATCATATCAAAAGATATTAGTATCTCAAGTTAGAGCAGGGGAGGTCGTAGAGTCTCTCTCTCTCACACACACACACAGACACACAGACAGAGAGACAGACAGAGAGACAGAGAGAGAGACATAGATACCTCAACTCATTTCTTCCTTTCATCTGTAAGAGTCAACGTGTTTTTCTTACTAATGAAAGATGGATCTGAAACTCTTCTTTAATTTTGTTAAGGCCACAGAGCTCTGTTGTATGTTCCAAAAAAACTTTTCTAAACTCTAGTAGTGAGTAGCTGTAATGAATCCTTATGCAAAGCCATCCAATTAAATATGTTTTTCTTGTGTTCTGCTTCTTCCAGGCAAAGACAAAGAATCCTTTGAAGCTCTGTATAAGCGAGGCAACTTGCTGGGCAAAGGCGGCTTTGGTACGGTGTATGCTGGGCACAGGATTGCTGATGGACTGCAGGTGGGTCAGCAAGGTGGGGCTGGCTACCTACGTTGTAGGTGGGACGGAGCAAGGATTGAATATGCCACCCTGAATGTACAAGGGATGGGGAAAAGACAAAGCCAAGAATCTTAACCCGATACTTATTGTAATGTGCCTGGGGATTTATTTATTTTTTGAGGTGGTCAAAAAGCCTCTAGCCATGATTGGCTGGACTGTCTGATGGAAGGGAGGTGCTGGGAGAAGGTCTGCTGGCTGCCACTGCACGAACGTCTCGGATGCCAGAGAAGAGCGGCCGTCATGGCACCCAGGAGGCCTTGAAAAGTTTTGCTGGGAAAGATGGGAAGTCTGAGAATGGAGAACTTAAACAGTCATAGGTGTGATCTAGTGCAGGACTGGGCAGAAGGGTGATTAGGATTTATTGGTAGTAGATCACTTGGTGATCTGGCCAGCATTGATGTTTTCTGTTTAACACCGCATGCTGCCCCTGTATTGCTGAGATCAAGAGACCTGTGTGAGAGCGACCGGGGCCAGTTTTTTTTATGTGGAAGGACTAGAACTCTAACTACAAATAGCTTTTTAGGAGAAAGGTCTGGTGCTGCTGATTTTGGAGGTGGAGGGAACGGCCAAATAGCTTAAATTTCCTTTCTTAAACAACTCTTGAAAAGAGAGTAGGTATCAAATACTTCTTTATTCTACCTGTTCAAACGGGAGGAAGAATGACTAACCTTCCTCCACTCCTGGCATGTATGTGCCCGTGTTGTATGATTAATGTGTACCTCGTAAAAGCTTTACAGGTGCACTCTAAAGCCCAATGTGTACAGCGAGCCGCTTTCACAGAGATAGGTGGAAGAGGAGCTTAGGTGACTTAAGTCCTTCGGCATCTAGAGAAAAACTAGCTGTGATCCTGCTGGGCTCTCTGTGGGTTGGGAAGGCAGGCCAAGGGGTGTGACTTTGGCTCTTACCTGTGCTTTCCTTCTCCACAGGTTGCAATCAAACAGGTTGCCAGGAACAGAGTTTCTGAGTGGGCAGAGCTGGTGAGTTTCTCTCTCTCTCTCTCTCTGTACTTGACTCAGTGGACTGTGCCTCACCCCACCCCTGTATGAGGGACAGAGATGTTCCAGGCTCTCCAGGTGTTGTTTACCATCCATACCAATCAGTGTGGCCAAGAGTGATAAGTGTTTGTAGCCCAAGAGCAGCCCCAGTGGTCCACATGTTGCCCAACACCAGCAGCAACTATGAGCAGGATAAGGTCGGTTTTCCAAAACCAGAGGAAAGCTAGAAGGAGACTTGAGGTAAAGTTAGAGAGATGATTCAGAGCATCTGTATTGTGAATAGAACCAAACATGGCCAGCACCCCCTCCCCGGTTTGAGTTACGTTCGTGAGGGATGAAAGGACCCCTCACGTGCCTATGTTTTGTCTTTTATCCTAACGTACCTCATTATTTGCATAGCAGTCTCTTACTAGCCCAGGAGAAACAGGCATTCCGTTAAGCCAAAGGGCAGGCTAGGAATGTCAGAAAGCTTTGTGCCTCCCAGAAATTTAAACTGAGAGGCCTTCCTCATCCCTGCCTACAGGTCCCATCATCCTTGACTACTGACCATGCTGACTGGGGTTGATGGGAGGTCCCAACAACATCTGGAAAGCCAGGGATTCTTAGCGAAACTTTTTTTCTTTTTGAGGCAGCAGTGATGTATCCACGTCATCTTGTGCTATAGATCGTCTCTTTCTTTCAGTCTAAACGAACTCTCCTCTGCCTTCCTTTTTGCAGCCTAATGGGACAGTGGCACCTCTGGAAGTGGCACTGATGAAGCTTGTGTGTGCAGGAACTGGGCACCGAGGCGTGATCCGGCTGTTGGACTGGTACGAAGCTCCCGAAGGCTTTTTCCTGGTGCTGGAGAGACCTGAGCATTGCCAGGACCTCTTTGACTACGTGACAGAGCAGGGACCTCTCCCGGAGAAGCTGTGTCGACAATTCTTCCGCCAAGTGGTGGAAGCCGTATGCCACTGCCATGCCCAAGGGGTGGTCCATCGGGACATCAAGGACGAGAACATCCTGGTGGATGTGCGTATGGGCAACGTCAAGCTGATTGACTTTGGGTCTGGGGCCTTGCTGAGAGATTCTGTCTACACAGATTTTGATGGTAAGGGTCAAGATCCCGTTCTGTTTCTTGCTGCACTTGGTGACAACCAGCTGCTGAATTGATTTGGAGATGAAATGTTATATAGTAAAAATAAAAATCAGTGTAAAGCCATTTTGCAAAGGAGCCTTATCAGCAAAAATAACCATCAAAGCAAATGTGTGGGTGTACGCACACATACACATTTACCTTATTTATATTCTTATACTTGCTACTTATTTGCCAAAAATGGATGAAAAAAATATTTTAGGTTATAACATGGCCTTCCCCTAATAGTCTTAGGCATTAATACTTTAAACAGGCGGTTCCCCAACTTTTTTGGGACCGTGGACCGGCTGAGCCTCTGAGAAAAACGGGGCACCCTCTTGTGTGGGTGTGTGCAGGTGCAAAGCGGGGGAGCACCTGCCCACCCCTTTGTGCGGGCGTTTGGGCGCATGTGTGAAGGGGGGGAGAAGCGCTCAGGTTGGCGCTGGCCCACGCACATGCACAAGGCAGCTGTGGGGAAGGGAATGCATGAAGGGGGGGAGGTCTGTCTCTACGGCCTAGTCTGGCTCAGGCCATGGACCGGGGGGTCGACAACCTCTGCTTTAAACCATACTTTTAAGCCATTCTTTTCAAGATGATACTTTTTGGCTGTTTCCTGTATTTTGCAATGAATATACAAGCTGAGGTTTATATCTTTTGTAGCCTTTCTTTGGTCCTTAAAGGCAACCTATCCATTTAGGTGGCCTGATCATATAACTGTTGGGTTAATGTATGTCCTATAATTATTTTAAATGTTCTGAACGTCTTGTTTCAATTTTTCTTCATTTTCATCTATACACTGCTTTGGGAGTACAATTTGAGGCATCTGTAGGTGCTAAATAAATACATATATGTACGTATATACTCCCTTGTTCAAGATGATATGTGTTAAAAGTAACTTATTTTCTTCTCTCTGCTGCTCAGGTACGCGTGTATACAGCCCACCAGAGTGGGTGGAATGCCAGCAATACCACGCTCTGCCAGCAACTATCTGGTCACTGGGAATTCTCCTCTATGACATGGTGTGTGGTGACATACCCTTCGAAAGGGATGAGGAAATTGTGGCTGCCCGTGTGGAATTTCACATCCCTGTATCTCCTGGTAAGTTTCTGCTCCTCAAAGTTCTCACTTTACTGAGTAACCAGGGTGAATCAATAGACTATTTCCATGTAAGCCATGCCCTGCCCTATTTTAGGAGAGAGTGAAGTAGTTCCTATGTGCAGCACAACTGCAGGTGTCTCACATGAGAACCAATGCGGAGTGACTTAGTTATTACTGTGTGGTAACTGCTTCGATGAGAAGAGGTGCTTTGGTGCCTCAGGGGACAAAATAGTTTGTGAATTTAAGGAATTACTCACCAGGACTTGGGAGGGGGAGAACGGTTAGCAGCTCTGCCTTGGGCCAGCCCTGAACTGAAGAACCCTAATTTAAATTCAAGAGAATTGGGACAAGTTCACACATTACCCAACCAGCATGGACAGGACACAGTGTTCGAACTTAGGTGCTTTGCATATGTTCCCAGCCGTATCTGTAGGAAGTAGCCAAATTTGTTTGGTCTCTTTCTCTCTCTCTCTCTCTCCCCCCTTGTATCTGTAGGAAGTAGCCAAATTTGCTTGGGCTCTCTCTCTCTCTCTCCCCCCTTAATTCTGTCTATTTCACACATATGTTTTCAGAGAGCCTAACAATGGATTTTTATGGAGTTATAACCCAAAAGTATTTTTCCCAAGCTCCGGCCTTTTAAAATCCCTTTCTGTAGGCTTGCAGATTAGTGACTTGACTTGTATGCTTGTTTTAAAAAAGTTGAGTTTCTTAAGAGGGTACACTTTTCACCTAGGACTGAATCACACAGCACTGCTGTCTTTAAGTTAGTGTACGACACAGCCTAATGCGGAGAAGGACTTGGAAACCAGGATTTCTGGGACATTTCTCACGTTGACTTTTCTTTCCTAGAGTGCCAGGACCTCGTCCGCTGGTGCTTGACTCCAGAACCTTCTGAAAGGCCAACTCTGGAACAGGTGCTCTTGCACCCATGGCTGAAGCTTGACCCTCTTCTTCAGACCGAAGAAGTACAGAGCTCCAGGGCCGTGGCTTGCAACAGAAGTGACCGAGAAACTTGACTCTTTCCTCCTGCCTCCTCCCCTTCTGAGACGGGGCGGTGGTGGTGCTGCTAATGGTACTTAACTGCCAATGGAACCTCAGGCAGCCAGGCTCAGGCAATGGCTGAAGCAAAGTTGGCCTGGTTCTACAGGTCTTTTTAAATTGAACTGATCTAACAAGAGGAGGATTTAGAGCTTCAGAGATGAATTCAGATGTCTTCGCTCAAATTCCTCTTGGCAACTATCCATATGATGTTTGAATTCTGGCCCACCTGGCCACCCAGACGTCTCCATATGTGTAAATACTTGTGTATTATTATTTTTTGGGACTTCTGCCTTTGAAGAGAAAAAGACTCTGGGTTGGATTTCTCAACCACAACGACTATTTTTAAGCCCTTTCAGGATACATGTGTAGGTTTGGTTTGTGTGTGCATGTGTTGTTGTTTTTAAAGATAGCACTTCTGCATAGCTCTGTCCGGCAACAATATCTGTGTGGAAATCTATTTAATAAATAAACTATGTTGTCACACTCAGGGAAAAAGCATGTGTTCATATAAATGTCTTTCCTGTTCAGTTCTTACAATTCCAGAGATAATCCACAGGAGATGCAACTTTCTATTTTTTACAATTACACCTTATTCCTCACTTGAGCGCACACTCTTTTTAGCTATGCGATCGGTATAATGTGTAGCGTGACCCTAAGACCCTTGAAATCCTCCTATAATACAACAGTCAAGCCTAAACTGGACAGAACTACAATGCCACCCTATATGTAACACCTAGTCTGGTTTTGAAAACTAAGCAGAATTGAGTGTGGTTGGTTTGTGAATTGAAAACCACTAGCTAATACCAGGGTTCTCTAGGCAGGGTCAGGAAACAACTCTGCCTGAAAACATAGTGAGCTGGATAAAGGATGTGACCGCTCAGTCTAGAGCAACTTCCTAGATTCCTCTGTGTAGTGTACATTGGATATCTTCTGTTGACCCTAAATCCTAAATTCCTTGTCTGCAGTCTGTATGTGGCCATTGGAAACAGCTGCCTTGCAAATCTTCTTTCATCATGGTTCTGGAGACACACAGTGTTAATAGCATCTGCAATGGGAATGCACTGTTTACTTTTTTTATATAACCTACGGAATTGGAGACATGAAGGTGACTGAGAAGAACAGCTCCAGACATACCTCTTGATACTTAAGCCACATCAGTTGAACAGTATTTAATCCTTACAAAGCCTTGGTATTCCAGATAGGATGAAGACAACCTGATCACCTTTCTGACAGCAAGAACTACTTAAGTGACAAATACTATAAAATGGTCAGATTTCAGACAATCCAGGAGAACTGGAACAACTTTGGTACATTGCAGAGATGGAAAAGGCCATACTGATCGTTTCCTAGGTTTCTCTGTGTAATGTACATTGGATATCTTCTGTTGAACCTAAATCCTAAATTCCTTGTCTGCAATCTGTATGTGGCCATTGGAAACAGCTGCCTTGCAAATCTTCTTTCATCATGGTTCTGGAGACACACAGTGTTAATAGCATCTGCAATGGGAATGCACTGTTTACTTTTTTTATATAACCTACGGAATTGGAGACATGAAGGTGACTGAGAAGAACAGCTCCAGACATACCTCTTGATACTTAAACCACATCGGTTGAACAGTACTGTATTTAATCCTTACAAAGCCTTGGTATTCCAGATAGGATGAAGACAACCTGATCACCTTTCTGACAGCAAGAACTACTTAAGTGACAAATACTATAAAATGGTCAGATTTCAGACAATCCAGGAGAACTGGAACAACTTTGGTACATTGCAGAGATGGAAAAGGCCATACTGATCGGAAATTTCTGGAAGTTGTACCCCTTTTTAAAAAAAGTAACTTCTTTAGTTTAAAATGAAGCCCATAATTAAGCCTCTTTACCTCCTTGTCATTAAAAAGACAGTAATATATTAAATAGCCAACCATTTTCTGCCTTCCCTACCATCCCAGATGTGGGGTGATAGGAAACCTGAGATATAAGTCTGCCTAACAGTAATAACTTCTCTTTCGTTCACACTTCCCCAACACCAGAGTCTTTTCCAGGGAGTCTTCTCATGAGATGGCCAAAGTATTGGAGCCTCACTTACAAAGCCTTGGTATTCCAGATAGGATGAAGACAATCTGATCAACTTTCTGACAGCAAGAACTACTTAAGTGACAAATACTATAAAATGGCCAGTTTCAGACAATCCAGGAGAACTGGAACAACTTTGGTACATTGCAGAGATGGAAAAGGCCACCGGGCATACTGATTGGAAATTTCTGGAAGTTGTACCCCTTTTTAAAAAAGTAACTTCTTTAGTTTAAAATGAAGCCCATAATTAAGCCTCTTTACCTCCTTGTCATTAAAAAGACAGTAATATATTAAATAGCCAACCATTTTCTGCCTTCCCTACCATCCCAGATGTGGGGTGATAGGAAACCTGAGATATAAGTCTGCCTAACAGTAATAACTTCTCTTTCGTTCACACTTCCCCAACACCAGAGTCTTTTCCAGGGAGT